CTGCGCGTCTATACTGGTCGGCGCGTCACCAAATGGCTAACATGCCAAGGGTGGGCGTTGGCTAACAACAACAGTAATTTAAATGAATGATCAATAACAGCGAAATCATAATGTTTGTATTTCTATTTAATAATGATCTAAATAGTTCGGAAGGACAAATTTGGGTAGCAATAAATCATCAATTATGTCCCTTAATAGCAATGCTAAACTTCAATCCGAAAAGATCACTAACTCTTAATGTCCCCTTCGATATTTTATGTATGGCCGCGAACTTAATGCGATGTTTAAATGGTTCTTTGTTATGAATCTAAGTGCAGATTTGTTTATGTAACAAAAATATTACTTTACTGCTTGGGGCGCAGGTAATTCAATGGTAATTTAATACTCCATTTATGAGCAGATGCAGCTCAAGAGGAAAAAAAGATGAAAATATCAAAAAGACGCTGCACAATACAAGCACAGACATAAATAGTGATTTATGCACCGAAGGCCTTATAAGAGTTCTAATAATCGAGCGGCAAGAAAATGCCCGAGGGCCTTTGACCCGAGGGATATTTGTGGCACGAGATCACTAGAACCAGTTAACGCTCGCGGTATACACATCATTTTATTTTTTACCTCATTTTGTTCATTGAGATTTACTTATTTACTAATTAACTAGATGTTAACTTGACTCGGTTTGCCTTTTCACATTTCCCTCCCATAATTCCCTTTCATAATTCCCTCCAGAAGAGATCGTGTAACATTAAACTGTTTTCATATTTCCCTCGTAACCAAGATTCTTTCAATCTAGATAAGTCATGTAGCGTATATCGAGCTCCATAGCGAAGGCAACAACAAGCTATAGCTTATCAGTAAAAAAAAATAAGTTTTTTAATAAAAGACAAACATTGACGAGCGCTCGTAGCGCTGTTCTCCGGCTGCGAGTCCTGCCCCCGCGCGCGCTCTTCCGCGTGGGCTTAATCGAGGGCGCGGCCTCGTCGACGCGATGACAGACAGCCCGCCGCGCCGTCAGGGCGAACGGCCTCCGGGAGCGAAAAGAAGAGCGCTTTCTCGGGGCGCGTGCGCGTGCGCGAGCCGCGTGCCGCGTGCGCAGCGACGCGCGGAACATTTGCGGCGGCGATGGTGTGACGGTTAGCGTACCGGACTGTTATACCCAAGCTCGCGGGTTCAAACCCGATCGAAGCCATGAATTTTTAAGGGTGAAAAAAATCCTTCATACGCCTTCCTTCGGAAGGGAAGTAAAGCCGGCTGCCCCATGTTAGTAGATTTACTTGCGTGTAAAAGATCCTCAAGCCTTAATGTCGCCTCTTATTGTCGAGCTAAATTGAAAACCGCCTGTTATTCGCCCAAGAAATACCTCCTTTCTCTGCTACTTGGTGAAAGGAGCGTAGCAAAATTTGCGTGGTCAGACGGAAGAGCGTGCCTGATTGCCCGAGTCTCGCCACGTAAAATAAGGCAAATTCAATTCAATTCATTTGTTCCCGAGGGCGCGTGTGCGGGACGGAGACGCGGCTTCCCTTGGCTGCGCCGCGTGCGCGGATGGCTGCGTGCGCCTGCCGTAGAGGATTGATTGATTAATCGGCTTCTGGGCGCGTAACTCCTATGATCACTAGTCTCTAGTTCTGGTAGTGCACGTTTTTACCACGGGAGGCAGTGGTGGTAGTGGTGGTGGTGTTCTTGCTACGCTGGAGGCTGAGTTCGACCAAGGCACACATTGATTTGCCGAGGATTTTCCACTGCTAGGATTTCCCCCAGCGGGACTAGCTTTAAGTTCCCGGCTGATCTCTCTACATGTTTTGTAGTATATTGCGTGTAATTGTAAGTGTAAATAGAGGAGAAAAGAGGCCTAAGAGGAGCAAAGAAAGATCATGCGCGATCCGTGGCCCGTTTTTTAGAGTACTAATTTGGGATTCGTCTGATATTGATCAGAGAGTTTAAGGGAAATTATCGATAAGAACAGCCGGCAGCTAGAATTCTCCTACAGATATCGATTGAATTCAACCTAGCTAGACAGACTACTATTGGAAATCCTCCGCTGCCGTGCCTAGAATCGCTGCAGAGGTAGCGGAGTTGCTGGCTCTGAGCTAGTCTCAGCGGGCGGTCTGTGAGGAGCTGACAGAGGGAGCGATGGAGGCCCTTCGCCCGAGGGCGCTGTATTTGGTGGAGGCGGCAGTGTTTTAGAGGATGGGTGGGAATATTCTTGACAAATATTAAGAAACGATGAACAACGTGTTTGCTCGTAAATGCGTAACAAACCAATTTACTGAGAGGTAAAATGCCGAACGGTCTGCAGGATATGTTCTCTCCATTAATATTCTGAGTAGTTGTATCTTTTACACAAATCATACACATCAAAAATGAAAATCATTTGATTTTATCAACCTCTTTGAATCTTTGGAACAATTTATATTCAAGCAATGCAGTTTTGCAAGTAATTGTCCAATTAACACCACACACTAATGGGTATTATTGTCAGGATACCCAGAAATTAGTCTCTGGTAAAAACCGGAAGGTAAATTATGAAGCTCAGCACCATAGTTCATGGACTGTCCGATGTAAGACAATAAGAGTGCGTCTAACACTTTTTTGTTATTTTAAAATAATTTATTTCGAATTAAACTTTTATAATTATAACTTCAAACCTGTAAGTTGTTATTTTGTTATTCTCTGGCAAAGTCTCCTTCGTGTGTGGTGAAACGATTGCGTCACTTACAGAAAAGTCGGATAATTTTAAATCAAATATTCTAGATCACTATATTTTCATGCCTGATGACATTCTGAAGGAAGCGGAAACTTCCAGCAGAAGTTTCACACCGTATAAATTGTGATTTAATAATGAGATACCTTATAATTTTTTAATGTGGTGAAACGAAAGAAATGTGATAAATATAAATGAAGACACTGAGACAGGACTTAAATGAGTGATCA